AGTCCCAGCTACTCGGGAGGCTGAGGCAGAAGGATTGCTTGAGCCCAGGAGTGTGAGGTTGCTGTGAGCTAGGCTGACGCCACGGCACTCACTCTAGCCCAGGCAAAAGAGTGAGACTCTGCCTCAAAAGAAAAAAAAATTGTATATGTTGCTCATACTATATTTCTGTTAGACAGCAGTGCTCTAAACCTAGTAAGTCCTCAACCTCCATGCAAGAGAGAAACTAAACCAATACCAGTGACAGGATCATTAGCTTAGGGCCCAGTGATGGCTTAGATGAGAATCCCACAATGTAGAAAGGGCTTTGGAGACAAACTGCCCACAGAAGTCAAATAGGTTTCAACCCCTGACCAACTACAGTGACTGCCTGGAGCAATATATTGAAATAGATTCAGAGGTGAAATCCAGGCTCAGAAAAAAAAAAAGAAAAAGATAGGTGATTGATTAGTGATGTCTGCCATGGGTACACTATTAGAGTAATGCTTACATGTATTGTATATTTGTCATGCTTCCCTTCATCCTGTCCCCTATTTTATAGTTAAAGTGGACTGAAGCCCAGAAAGGTCATGGAGGTTGCCAAAGGTCACACAACTAGCAACACAACCTGTGAAGCAGCAGAGGAGAGGGGTGGAGAGAGTGGCATTCCCCACTTTCACCCACCTGTGTTTTCCTCGTCCTCTTGCCTGCTGGGGTTCAGGGCCATGACCTGTACAGTCACAGAGTTGCGAGCAATGGTGCCACCGCTGCGCCCTGGAGGCCACACCTTGTGGGTCTGCATGTGTTTCTTGACGTTAGACTTCTGGGCAAAGGCACGGCCACATGCAATGCACTGGAAGGGTTTCTCACCGGTGTGGCTGTGGGAAACAAGGCTTGTCAGCATCCTCATGCAGGAATAAGGACATGGCCCCAGTCCAGGAGCTCACAGCTACCAGGAAGACCCAGAAAGAACATCCAGATGCTGCTGGCCACCATTCTGTCACCATGGGGACAAGCCCCCTTGCTGAGGCAGGCAGACCAGAGATGGGAAGACCCTGGGCTCTTAATCACACTAGTGAGCTGCTGAATCAACCAACCCTGAAGCTGACCTTTCCTCTGACCATCTCGTACTGTGAAAGAAAACATTTCCTAACTCTTTAAACCCATTGTAATGGGACTTCTGTTATTTGAAGGAGAAAACATCCTAGCTGACACAGCACAGCACTTATACCATGATCTAACATTTTTTTAAAACCAACTCACTTTTTTAAAATTGAAAATAATATTAAAAGGAAGCTTCCTTTTGTTATTGTATATTGAAAGCCACTTGTCATAAAGTAACAAAAAAAATGCAAGATCTATAGCTGCACTGTCCAATAAGACAGACACAAGCCACATGGGACTATTTAAATTTAAATTCATTAAAATAAAATTAAATTAGGCCAGGCACTGTGGCTCATGCCTGTAACCCTAGCACTCTGGGAGGCTGAGGTCGGAGAATCACTTGAGGTCAGGAGTTTGAGACCAGCCTGAGCAAGAGCGAGACACCGTCTCTACTAAAAATAGAAAAATTAGCTGGGCGTGGTGGTATATGTCTGTAGTCCCAGCTACTCGGGAGGCTGAGGCCGGAAGATCACTTGAGCCCAGGAGTTTGAGGTTGCTGTGAGCTAGGATGACACCACGGCACTCTAGCCAGGGCAACAGAGCAAGACTCTATCTCCCACACACAAAAAAAGAAAATTTAAAATTAAAAAAATTAAAAATTTAGTTTCTCAGTCCCACTAGCCACATTCCAAGTGCTCAACAGCCATTATAGTTAGTAGCTACCACATTGGTCAGTGCCAATTTGAGCATTTTTTTTTTTGAGACAGAGTCTCGCTCTGTTGCCCAGGCTAGTGTGCTGTGGTGTCAGCCTAGCTCACAGCAGCCTCAAACTCCTGGGCTCAAGTGATACTTCTGCCTCAGCCTCCCGAGTAGCTGGGACTACAGGCATGTGCCACCATGCCCGGCTGATTTTTTCTATATATTTTTAGTTGTCCAGCTAATTTCTTTCTACTTTTAGTAGAGACAGGGTCTCGCTCTTGCTCAGGCTGATCTCAAACGCCTGAGCTCAAACGATCGTCCAGCCTTGGCCTCGCAGAATGCTAGGATTATAGGTGTGAGCTACCGCGCCTGGCCCAATTTGAGCATTTCTATCACTACAGAAAATTCTGTTGGAAAGCACTGGTGTAAATCAGTTCTCAGTTGAGGTCAATTTTGTCCTTCAGGGGACATCTGGCATTCTTGGTTGTCACAACTGTGAGATGGGATGCTACTGGCATCATATGGTTAGAGGTCGAGGATGCTGCTAAACATTCTACTATGCTCAGGTCAGCCACCACAGAAAAGAATGATGTGATCCAAAACCCAAAATGCCAGCAGTGCCAAGGTTAAGAAACCCTGGTCTAGAGAGCTGTTGCCAGCCATGGTTGGAATCTGAGGCTTGCTCGCTCTCTGTTACAGGAGATGAGCGAGTATACAAAAGGTGTTAAAGACAGACTTGCCACCAAATTGAGCTTTGTCTGTTGACTCTCCAAGGACTAAAATTGCAAAGGGGATCATTTTCTCCCTACATCTTTCAGAATTTTTCAATACCATATCCACAAACCACTTAAAATCATCTCATATACCAATGTATCTACTCCATGAGATCAAGGAACAAGCCTGCCTCTCCATTTCACAGACAGAAAATCTGACACCCAGGGGGCTCCTTACGTGTTCTTGGGACAAGAGACATCATGGTTAGTCCTGAGTGAGCAGAGAGCTCAGAGTTATATTTGCAGAGCAGCCCTTTCTGCAGAGGCGAGGCCTGAGGCAAAGCCTCTCTCAGTTCAGTACATTTCCTCCCCTACGCCACTCCTCTCTGACCTTCCCTGTCACAGTGGGCAGGCCCCACAGCTTTCACGGGTCCCTTGCACTGCTCCTGAGAGAGAAGAGAGAAAACCATCCCGACCTGGGACCTGGACTACAGCCTGAACACCACGGCAGGACAGATGGGGCCTGGGTCACCACCCGGGCTAAGGAGCTGAGAAGGGAGTCTCGCTTCCACTGCAGATGGCCCCCCCAGCCAGGCCTGCCCAGGAGCCACCTGCCTCCCCCCAACCCTACGCCATGCCTGCATACCTTCGGATGTGCTGCTGCAGGTCGAAGTTTTTGGTGAATGATTTGTCACAGTATGAGCACTTGAGTTTCTGAGCCTTTGGCTTCCCAGCAGCTGAAAGACAAAAGGGAGGAGGGGACAGTGAGGCTGGGGGCACAGCTGAGGGTACCAAGGACAGCCTCCAGCCACTTTACTTGGGGCCGGAGAGCCCACAGCCAGGGAAGTCTATACCCGTGCACAGGCAGGGGAAGAGGCACAGGGCCTTCCAGTGCCTGGGGAGGGGAGCCTAGGACATGCTCCCGCTGGGAAAGCAAGACAAATCCCTCAGAGGCTCCCCTTTGCCCCAGGATAAAATCCAACCTCGCTGCCATGGCCAACAGCACTCTGCATCCTCTAACTCCTGACAACTGCATAATTCTCTCCATCAGCTGCAGTGGACTCCTTGCCAACTTGAAAAGACCTTGAGCATGGCCCCACCTCAGGGCCTTTGCACCTACTGTTCCTCCCTGTCTGGAATGCTTAACCTGAAGATACCCACAAGGCTGCTTTCTTCTCCTCCCCATATTGATAGATTGCATCATTTTCCAGCCTCTCCCTAGTTATTTTCAATCACAAGACCCTGTTAACCTCCTTCCTAGAGCAACCCATAAATGTTGATTTATTCCCTGTCTGTTGCTCCCATTAAACTGTGAATAACTGAGGGCAGAAGAAATCACGGACCAAGATACTAGTCCCCAGTGCCTCACATGGAACCTGGCACACACATGCTCAACACATATTTGAGGAAGGAAGGAAGGGAGGGAGAGAGGAATTGGAAAGCCACTGAAAAATTCTCAATTTCTCTCCCTACATCTGCCCCCTGCTTCTGATGTCACCTTGTACCCCATACTTAACAACTCCAAAGCGGGGCAGACACTGCTACTTGCCTGATTCTCTCCTTCTTCCTTCCTTACAAAGCCCATGGTAGGAATATCAATGTTTCTGGCCAAAAGAGATACTTCCCAGCTTCCTTTGCAGCTAGGTATGGCCATGTGACTAAGTTTTCACCAGTGAGATGTAAGCAAAAGTATCATATAGAACTTCTGGAAGCTGGGAGATGTCCCTTTCATCCTTCCCTTCTTCCTTCTTCTTACTGCCTGAATATAAAATTGATGGCTGGAGCTCCAGCACCCATTGCAGACAATGAGGCACTCTGATAAAGGATGCCATGTTCTGGGGATGGCAGAACAGAAAGACAGAAGAAACATGGGTGCCAAGTGACCATGCAGTCACACGATCCCCAGATTTTCTACTTCTGGCCTTGATTTACACAGGAGAGAAAAAAAATGCTATCATTTTGAAGTCACTGTTATTTTAGATTTTCCATTACATGCTGCCAAACTTAACTCTAACCATCATTAAAGGGAAGACCAGCACCAGACAGCCTGTGGATGGGCCAGTGCTGAGGAAAGATGCCCTGGGCTGGCTGGGGGCCCACCTTCCGGGAGTCCCCTGGCACCTTTAGCCCGTCGGGTCTTCAGCATCGGTGGGGAGTCAAAAGTGGCCACTGTGCCCCCGGTGGCGCTGGTCATGGGGGCAGCAGGGTTTGGTCCTCTTGGTTTAAATTCCTGTTTGCCGGGGCTGTACACCGGTGGGGTCGGGTATACTGGAGCCTCCACACACTGGTTTGGCACCTAGAAGGACAGCACAGTCAGGGAGAGAGCCCTGCGAAGGAAGGGGAAGAGCTGCGGCCCTGACAAACCTCAGCCACCCCCACCTACATCACCATCCCAACCTCTCTACCTGGCACAGTCACCCCTGTCACCCCAGTCACTCCCAAGACCCCTAGAACTTCATGAAGCCAGCAGCCGTAACAGCTTTGGAGTCACAATGCCTGGGTCCAAATCTTGACTCTGCCCCTTACCACCTGAGTGACCTTGGGCATCTTTTAATTTCTCTGTCTCAGTTTCCACATCTGTAAAATGGGACTAGTCATAGTACCTCTCTCATAGGCTTGTTGTGAGAGTTAAATGAGGTAACACGTAAAAGGCTCAGAACACTTGCTGGCATATAGTAAGCACTCAATAAACATTAGCTGTTATTATTGGCATTATTACTAGTAGTACTAGTAGTAGTAGTAGTAGTAGTAGTAGTAGTAGTTTGCTAGCACAAGAGAACCAGGAATACAGAAGGGTCTGTGCCCTCACCAGCTACTCTCCTTTCTAACTGACACCACCAAATGTCACAGTAGCAGGCTTCCCTCAACTGAGAACTGACATGGAGGCCACAAGAAATGAATCAAATGAATCAAATGAATTCTGAGCCATTCAAACTTAGTTAACACTAAGCTCACATCATGACACTAGGGCGATGTAAAGAATTCATTTATTCATCATTCATTGGTCTTCCTGGGGTGTCCTATCCAAAATTTCACTTCCTATCCTTCTCTTGCTTTCTTTTTCTCCTTAGACTGATCTAAAATTGTGTATTTTACTTATCTATCTTGTCTATTATCTGCCTAGTTCCACAAGGGCAGGCTTTGTGTCTGCTTTTGCTCACCACACTGTCACCAGGCCTAGAGCAATGTCTGCCCAGAGTGGACACTCAGCAGGTATTTGCTGAATGAACGAACTCATTGAAGCATTCAGTGAGCATCTGATATGGCACCAGTAGGTGCCTTTGCCAGACCTTGTCTGCTGTCTCTTGGCACCGATCCTACACCCCACCATGCTCTCCCCGAAACGCGAGGGCGGCAAGCTTGGAACGACATTCCCCTGCCAGCACAGTTCTGAACACCAATTATGTTCTGCACCTCAGAAGCTTTTGCATGAGATTTAGAAAGCAGAAGGGAAGTAGAAACCATTCTCCTCCAGCAGCCAGGGCGAAAGACAATCTTCTGCAGTTGTGAGTTTGGAGTGGCTGGCTGAACTCTGCATTCCCTCCCAATCGCCAGCTAGAACGTGAGCAAAGGAATCCTACCGTGTCCTCACCTCTGGGGACAGCAGCAGGGCCCTGGCTCTCTGGGCCAAGCTATAGCAGTGAACCTGAAACCCATGAACCCCGACTTTTGTTTCTCTAGCCCTTCTACCAGTTAGTTACAGGAAGCACCTAACTTCCTGTACCAAATCCCAGTGCCAGAAATACCTAGCATGGTTTCTGTTTTGCTGACCAAACCCTGGCCAATATGGCATTCGATAAATATTTGTCATATGAATAAATTCACCCATCACTCCAGGTATTACTGAGCAATTATGTGACTGCCACTGGGTTAGGCTCTCATTATCCTCGACAGCTCTCCAAGGAGAGTTCCCATTTTGGAGGACAGGAAACTGAGGTTAGAGGGCCCTGCTATGTGTGTACCACAGGCCAGGTACTCTGCTGGGTGCTAAGGATGCAAAGTTAAATAAGACTCACGCTCTGCCCTTAAAGAGAACCCTCATCTACATGGAAAATAAACAGCAGCAGCTTCCCCTGGGCTGGTTCCCTCTGTCTACCAAGCCAGCAGTGTCATCTCAGCATCCCACTGACTTAACTTTTTTTCAATTCAATAAATTCCTTAGGGAAGCTTGCTCTATTCTCCCAGGCTAGGGCAAATCCTCTTATAGCCTCTTACAACATCACATGCCTTGTGGTGGGATTTTCCCACTGGTCTGGGCTCTCTTTACAGGTACAACCTGACATGGAATGTCTGTATGGCTGGACCCTAGAGTGAGTCTGGGATAGTGTGACTTTAAGCGCAGACTGGCTATCTCTGTCATAACCATACCCTCTGGCATACCCTCTAGTCTGGGAAGGTTCTATGAACTCAGTGCCTTGAGAGTAACCTGTAGCTCAGAGCACATCGGCAGGAAATTAGTATAGTACATTGATTATACAACGGCCCCAATTCTTCCACCCTCTCCATATCCATGCCTTTGCAGTGTGACTTTACAGCTTCTCCCATTAGGAGGTGGCATCTATTTCCCTATCCCCTAAATCTAAGCTGGCCTTGTGACCTGCCTTGGTAAATAGAAGTGACACTGTGTCACTTACAAGCCTAAACTTCAAGAGGCTTTGATCATTTCTGCTTCCATTTTTGCACCTCCACCATGGCCATGGGAACCTGATAGGGAATGAGAATCACATGGAACAGAGCTGAGTCATCCCACCTGTCCCAGCCCAGGCCATCCCTAGAGCAGCCAACAGCCAGCCAACCTCCAGACATATGGATAAGCCCAGCCAAGATCAGTAGAGATGTCTAGCTGACCACTCTGCACACGTGAACATAAACACTTTTTTGCTATATGCCACTGAGGTTTTATGGATATACCTTACACAGCAGTAGCTAACTGATACACCTGGCTTGTTAAAAAATGTAAGAGACATTTATGCAGATAATTTTTTGGAATCTTCTCCCCAAAAGGCAGGTGTTCCCTGACTGTTTTGAGCAGCTTATATTTTGGCTACAACCTCTGCTTCATCCCACCTTCTCATGGTTTGCACCTTACATTTACAGATGTGAGGCTTTGATTAGAGTTCTTCTCTCCCATGATGTCATATACTCCATGAAGGCAGGGATTGGATCTGGTTTTGCTCCCCATGGTATCCCCAGCACAGTGCTTGGCACACAGCTGGTGCTCAGGAAAGGTCTGGGCTGTCTATGATGACCATGACCAGTTTCCTCCTCTGCCCCAACCCCCACCCCCTCTGCTCACCTCCAGGGGCGGGTAGGGCTGCATCCCCAATGCCTGGATCTCCACTGTTCCACTCCCAGCTAGTGGTGCTGCAGTGCTGTACACCTCCACCACGCCATTCCCACCAGGGTTGGGACGCCCAGGGGGGCCAAGGCTCTGGGGTGGGGGTGGG